CTGTTAATATAGTGTAATAAAATCTTGGACTTCTGTTCAGCCTGTCATATAATCTGAATTGATACTCCTTCCGTGCCTGACATATGCATTTTTCGACAGCATTTCGTTGCCGACGAAATCCTTCGAGGTGCACTGGTTACCCGGTTACCCTAAATATGTTCCATTTTTTGCTTTTCTTCCGAAAATATCTAAATAGTTTTTTGGTTAACTAGGCAGGCCCGCTTTCTTCTCAAAACTCTGTAAGGCGAAGACTTCGTTTCTGGATTCAGTTATTACTTATCTACTTGGTGAAACCCTTACTTTAAGAACAAAAGAAGTTGCGACGACGCGCCAAATTTAATTAAGCAGATTTTGCGGATATATGGCCGAATATAATCGTTGGAGTTTTCATCATAAATCTGGGATTTGACGATTCGTGGTAACGCAAAAAGTGGACGAAAATGCTGACTTCGATAAAGCAATTGTGTTTGTATTTAAATTTTTGAGAAACTTAGGGCTGATAAACGGCACAAAGAAATGAGTAGTGCTGATTAAAATTAAGGGGGCATGCAAATTAGGGGAAACGGGTTTCTGCTTTTTTTGTCTCTGATGATGGATTCGAGTAGGAATCCGAAACGTCATATTAATAAAGCTCTTGTCCCGGCGATCGTGTCTCCTTTTTCAAGATTACTTCCTGGGACTCCTCTCTTCGCTTCTATTGTGAAACAACCCTGTTCAGATCAAGGGACGTTGCAAAATCTCATGAACCAAAGCAGTACCTTTTTGAAGAAAGTCTTCGTAGGCGTTGCCTATTACCTTTAAATATGATAAAGTATAGTGAAATAAATGCTTTTAGAGATTAAGTGAACTATCCCGTTAAAGAAATATAACTAATGCACATCAATTGTCCAATTACGTGTATTATGCGTTCTTACTTTATTTTGAGTCAAGTTGACTTTTTGAGGCCTGGTTAACACAATCAGCGCTTAAATGCGTTGGTTTTTTGATTTTTCAGCCAAGCATGTGTAATAGTTTCGGTACTGACTTTGCTGTGGCATTCAAACATTTTTCAGCGGAAAAAGACCGGTTGAAATAATAATTAAGAAGAAGGAAGCCAATCTGCAGGCACTGTAGGGGACGCTCCAAAACCGCAAATCTTTCGTTTGTCAATTAGTCGACTACTGTGGCAGCCCTTCTTATCCAAGACAGTACAACGCCAAATTTTCCTCGAATGACTTTAATGGAAAGCCAAAAAATAATTGAACGATTAAAATCCTTTACCTTTTCGAATCCGCCCAGGAAATGTGGTCTTATCTTTTGCAGGCATGCCATCTTGTAAAGGCGTGGAATTGTAGTTTAGCTTTGACGGTTTCTTGATTTCGCTACCAAGAATCCGCACCAGGATCACAATTTTAAACTGTTCGTCTAGCAGGAATTGTAGGGTGATCGGAAGTTTTCCTTCTCTGCTCTGTTGATTAAATTACGGAACGCCTTCATGAGCATGTTGTAATACATTGAAACTCGGGAATGAACTGGGGATTCATACGTAAATTTTTATATTTTTATGGTCATATCTGAAAATTTTCTTGCCAAAATCGTTCTTTGTTACCGCAAGTTCTTACTCTGTATGCGCGCTTACCGGTATGAGCACCTCAGCGGACACAGTTTACAGAGCTTACGCATCTAAAACCGGGAGGGCGCACGCAAGATAACACCATGAGCGAATATTATCTTACACTGCATTCACAATGCAACTTTCTGCCTCTCACTCCTCCATATGGGTACGCAGTCACAAAAACGTAGCTAGCAACGTTCTAAATTACCTACGTCCTTTTCGTATCAGGCACGAAGTTTTCCATGGTGTACGCCACAAAATGATTGGCGCAGAGGTAATGAATTGCCCCGAAATCGTTAACAATAACGTCACACTTGCACTAAAGCTGTTGAACGTCCTTCACCCTCACCATCATGGGTCTTAAAGCAGGACTGAACGTGGAAGAAAATATTGAGTGTAGGCGGTTAGGAGAAGGGCATGATGATTAAGAAAGATATGTGTAATGACGGGCTGGTTGTAAGTGGTGCTTGGCCACAGCTGACGGGGCAGACCTGCCAAAGGACAATTTCTGGCATTCCGCGTACCATCAGATCTCCATTCCGTTGACGTTAATAGATGAAGAGTAAAACACCGTAACTGTGACGACGACCTGTAGACACTTCATTCAGCAACATTCGCCGGCTATTCAGCAAGCAGGATACTTCCAGACGTTGCCATTAACAGCATATAAAATAGTCCCTGCAATTCAACGAGTGTAGATTCTCCCACGCACCTACAATGAAGAATAGAAACATACACAGTGCTGTGCAACGCATCGAAAGACGCTTTTCGTTCGAGCTATCACACGTTCTTCATCGTACTGGTTTAATATTTCAATACGAAACCATTTTCAAATACTTCAGGGTAGGGTGGATCCATACTATCAGCACAGGTAGTAGCCAAAAGTCCATACAGGTGAGTTTCGTCGATATTTTGTCGCTGCATGACACACAGGTCCAAGTGACTCGGCTCGTCAGTGTGGTCCCCAGCGTTCCCTCTCTACCTTCTGGTAGATACTCTAATTTAGAAATTGCTGCTTTTTAATTTCCTTGGAAACTAACCGCGAACTTGGAGCAGACCGGCATACTTAAGGTCTACAGGCTCGTACCAAAGATTTTCTGTATGAATATTTTATGCGAAGTCCGTAAATCACAGTGGATAGCCGCGTAATATTCATTAACTGGCGATGGGTGACTCGTAGTATACTTCAGTAGCATTTTGGACTTCTGGCTACTACCTGTGCTGGAAGTATAGAATCCTCTTACCCTGAAGTATATTACTAGCTGCCCCTCGGCAGTTAATGAAGATTGCGCGGATAGTTGCTGTGGCTGATGAGATTCGGACGACATATTCATACACAAAATTTTTAGTCTGAGGCTGTAGACCTTAAATATACTGATCTACCCCAAGTTCGCAGTTAATTTCTAAGAAAATTAAAAAGCAACAGTCCCAAATACATCAGCTAGTTGTATTCATATAATTCATTCGGCTGAATACAATAAGAGCCGAGGATTCCTAATATTACGGTGAAGATACTCTTGCAGAATCAGCCTCACTCACGCCGATCGTATTCCTATAACGAGACTCGATCAAAAGGACAGACGACAAGATCAACGCAGTGACTGACCTGGCCCTGCAGCAAGATTCGACCGCATGGAACTTCACACGCGTTGGCAACGCCCATATAGTCTCGTTGGCCAGTCCAACAACTGCGCTCACTACAGGCTCTTGGAGACAGCGCTGATACCCAAAAGCGTGTGGAGTCGGGCGGGAATTGCCACCTCATGTAGCTGGTTCTATTGTGCTCACGGTGGGGCCTCGGAACTCACATGGTGATACTGTCGCTTGTTTTCAAAGTCTTGCCCCTGCTCTCATGGGCTCGATACCCACTGATAGCGGGAGAAACGCTCACTTGATGGGAAGACTCAGGAATCCGTCCAGGCTTTGTGTCTACCAAAGGACGCCCAAAAGCGCCGGCGTTACCTATCGAACTGAACGGCGTGGCCCCCGCTCCCTCCCGCCCCACTCGCCACATACTCACGCTCCCTCAGTGAGACCAACTACTGCCCTTGACGTAAGAGCCCTCAGCTTTTACGAACTGAAGAATCGACTGAGCAGACGCAGCAACCTGACGACAGATCTGAGTACGGCTGCGCTTAAGGTTAGTCGGGGCTCAAGGTCTTTGGCGCAGCAGCGTACAACACCAACACCCCACGCCCTTCAATCGGATACCCATGCTGCTTTGGCGTGTAAACAGTTTTGCCGCGGATTCAACTTCCGACCGAAATCGTCGAACTGCACTTTTAACTGATTACCCCACGGGGCTGGAAGACATGAAATCCCAGTCACCCGGATGTGCTTAGTCTTCCCTGTCAAAAGGACTGTGATGAATGTCCCTAAACGCGTCCACCGTACAACAGATGCGGCATGACCTCACGAACGACAACCAACAAAAAACACAAATGGATCTTACAAGTTGCTACCTGTCATGCTTGCGGCGCGGACTCACCAATATGCAATAGAGGCGTTCATAGGCAAACGTGCAACAAACTTGCACAAATTGAATTCCCAAAGAAAACCAAATGAGATTATATTTCTTCTGACGCCAGCTCATCCCATGCAGAGTTTGAACAGCGACTTACGCGGACAAGGCTTACGAACGCACCGGTAGGATAGGGAGGGTTAAAGTGCGAGACCAAATTCATCCAAAATAGGTGATTCGCCAACGAGAATTGAAACGGGTCATTTGTAACCTATTCACATGTCAATATCGAGAAAACGTCCCACTTACGGTGACCCGAGCACGATGCATGAAACTGTGGCAACCTGATCAGAAGATACCGTAAAATAGCGATGGAGACTATGAGGGAATGAAAAGAATTTTCGACCGGCCGAATTGCACAGATATATCCCAACTTCGAAGATCTTTAGGAGTATTTGTCGCCTATACATAATATGTGATATGACAAAGAAATAAAGAGACAGAATCTAAAATCAACGTCCGATATAGAAACTGTAAAGAGGGACGACTTGAAGGTCGGAACACGACCGATATCAAGTCGGCGGACTTGTGAAGGCAAGTGTAAGGTTATAAAAATATAGTCACAAACGGAGTACACACGCAGGCACGGTGGACGGAGCACAGCCATACTGCAAATCAGAGAAATCAGAGTGCGTTTTGTTCGTGTATAGATATATACACACACGGGTACTGATTGAGGGTGGGAGGGGAGGCAAGTGGCCTGCCACACACGTACACGCTGTGCCAGGAATCCGAGTATTCACAAAAAAACTACAAAATCTCGAAAACGAGGGGGCTAATACACACACAAGGCCTGACGAGGATTGAAGGCCGAACGGGACGGGGGAAAGGGGAAGGGGGACGCGTGAATGAAGATATGGCAATTGAACAGTGGCGCTATTGCGATTACGCGCGCTCGGAAGGCGGTGTGGACCGCGGGACGGCAAATAAACTGAGCTGTGGCCTGTTGGCAACGGCCTCCAAACAGCCCGTCAGGAGATCCGGTGGTTCCACCGAGGAGCCAAAGCCCGAGAAGGAGGAATCCGAGGAGGGGGACTTCTGAGTATGCAGAGGGACAAAAAATACAACGGTTTGAGCAGCAATCATGCCGACAAGTTGGATTGGCGATATGCGGCACAGCACGAAAACGGGTAGGGCATCGGAGAGCACAAAGCGAAGCTCAGCCTGCTTCGGCGCAGTAAGGATTGTCAGACTACGAACGGCTTAACGAGCTCGACTAGCTATAGCCAGAAGAGTTATTTTTGACAAGAGGAGACGTCAACGTGGCTCCGACGTCAAAAATCCCCCAAAGAAGACTGTGTGCAGAGTTGCACAACTTGCGAAAACCAGCTGCATTACAACCATAGAGTGGGCGACTAGCCAATAATTGACAGTTCGAGCAACGTTGCCTAAGACGTCCACCGTGTGTTTCACAGAAGGGTAACAACAGAGACAATGACTTGCGCTTTATCCACAGCACTCTCTCCCCCTCTCCTACCTGAACCCGGTGCCAAGGCAGGGTCATGCGGACGGGAGGCTGGAGAGATCAAAAGTAGCCGGTACGGCCAAAAAGCGACACGTAGGCGTACTACCACATCTGTTGTTCAAGCAGTCACGGTCCAGCCGCATGTCCAAACAGCCGAAGAAATATGATCTGCGCACTCTCGTCGGACTCCATGAGACGAGTAATATCCCTCTTGTCAACAACAACGCTCATCTGAATCACCGCCACGAGTAGAGATGGGTTATAACCAAAAGCCGACATTAGGCTTAACACAGTAGTGCAGACTGTTTTGGAGGAAAACGACAATGGGTGCTGTTACACACAACCGCCGGGCGGAGCCGGCAGCATCAACTCCCAACTTTAGCTTCATATCTAAAGTCATCCTGTAAAGCCTGTTTGAAGGAGACACAATCGCTCGGACAAGAGCTTTATTAGCCTGACGTTTCGGATTGCTGTTCGAACCCTTCATCAGAAAAAAGCAGATAGGGGTGATTCATGTACAAGGGGCTGCAGTCGCCATGCTACCGCATACCTGTGAATATTAGCGGCTCCCCACCTTCATCAGGGATCGTTGCACGTGGTGTGATGACTTTTTGACGGTTTACATTCGCGTCGTTAACTGCTGCAATTTCATTACGTGAGTTGGATGTTGATGTGATGATTGTTCGACCAGCTGACCCACCGACCTTGGGGTTGGGAAGTGTTCACTTGTGAGCTCCCTGCGTGGCTAATTACTCCGCTTAGGCGAAGTCTCAGCACCGAGTATGGAAGAGGAAGGTCATTGTACTTGTTAATGGACTGGGGGCCAGTAAACCATGACTCAAGTAGCCCCAGGCTCACGCGGTCGTCACCTCTTGTGGGAATTTTGGCCACCAAACAGCCATCACACCACGCGCAACGATCCCTGATGAAGGGGGAGCCGTGAATGTTCATAGGTAAGCGGTAGCACGGCGACTGCATCCTATAAATACTGCAACCCATTGTGCACGAACAACCCGTATTTGCTTTTGTCTCTGATGATGGATTCGAGCAGGAATCCGAAACGTCAGGCTAATAAAGCTCTTGCCCCAGCGATCGTGTCGCCTTCTTCAAGACTACTTCCCGGGACTCGTCTCTTCGCTTCTATTGACAAGGCCTGTTTGCTAAACTAGCAGGTAAAGCTGACGACGTGACAGGAGCACTCACCGCCAGGTCGGAAGAGGTCGAGATCGAGGACTGGCGTGAGAGGAGACAGGTTGAGCGAGCTCGTCTGCCATCCGACTTCGGCACTGGTGGTAGAAGAGATTCCAACGCGGGACCACTGCCAGTCACAGCGGAGTTCTTCTTGTTCTTACGTCGAAAGACACTCGCCTTCCGAGGCACTGCAAACTTGGCTTTGGAGGATTCCGCGGGGGCTGCATCAGATAAGGCAGCCCTCTTGTAGAGTGCAGAATGACTGGAAGTAGGGTCCAACAGGAGAGTGTGACGGCGAACATCGTTTGTGGCGGTCTCAGGACCCATCGAGGCGGTGCGGGGGAATGTTAACGGCCTGGAACCCTGCGGCGGCGGGGGTGGTGGTGGTTGCTGGGATTGCCGCATCGCCGCCGACCAGCCATTGGTGAGGGACCGCAGGGAACTGGTGTGGGAGAGACGGCGGGGCCTGGCGCGGAGAGTGGAGGCCTTGGACTTGTGCGAAGCAGTAGCCGGTCGCACATTTTCATCGCCGGCGGGAGCAACCGGCTGAAGGGGCAGGCCGTGACGCAGACGCTGAATAACATCTTGCATTGGCTGACAGCTGCCGTTGGCGGAGGGGAGGGAGGAGAGGAGGAGATGGGTGGCTGAGTGCCGGCCGATGCCCTGATTGTGCTTGGAGGTAACCTTGCCGGCCAGTCGATGAATGGTGCTCGTGGCAGAGATGATGGAATTCCGACTGGTCGATTGGCGCTTTGGTAGTAAGATGCTTACTAAAAAGGAGAAAAACAAATAAAGAAGCGGATAACGATCCAGTTATGTTGAGAACAAATAAAAATAGGAGGCGAGAGACCGCCTAAAACTGTAGATAATATAGTTCTCGTATTATGATCTGGTTTTTCCCTCGGAACACGGTTCCTTCAACGTCAAATGAAGGTAGAAAGGAACACATCTGCAAAACTCACGGCCAGACAACATTTGACGATATTATGTAAAACGGAAGTTGGACGCAAGAAATAAGGACCCCCATACTACCCGTGGCCATGCGCTAAATTCCAAGAGGTGCCTATTCCTACGTCTTGGCCAGGAACCTCCAGAATCTGAGACAAGGTTACCTGTAGTACGAGGGGAGGTCCATATGGCAATGCCCTGCGAGACGGGGCTAACAAGACTGTTTCCGGAAATTAATCAACGTAGTAGCATAGTTTATGGTCTGGTTCGTACATACTGACTTAACTTCAGCAGCCACCGCCCCTACGCCACCTCCGTGCCGCCAGAACACCGCGTGGGCGTGTGTGGCACGTGTAGCCGCCAATTTGCTTGTCTCAATAACTGCCTTGACGCCTCCCTCTTGACATTGACAGAGGGTAGGCGCTAAAAGGGTGGACTAGGTGAATGCTACGCAAGCCCTCCTTATGAGTCCAATTAACGCGCAAAGCCCAGTTGCCTCCACAGACAGCGGTGGCCCTTATACAGTGTGTTGGACAAAGTGCCCACACAGTCAACGTGAGCAGGGTATCCTTCCTACCAATAAGAGTACAAAATAAACAGAAGGTCCTTGTAAGTGCTGTGTAAAAAGAGTACACGAAGACAAAAGTACACAAGAAAGTTTACTTACAATTATCGCGAATGCGTGCGAGGCGGCCCGAAGAAAGAAGAGCTGAAGAGGAAGGAGAAAGCGGGCACCAGTTGATAGACGATAACTGGCAAAATCAGAGCACAAACGTCACAAGGCCGGCGCGCAACCCCCAGAAGGTCAGTGCGTGCGTACTAAGTGGTTTAGAAAGGCTGCCGATTTTCCTGAGTTGTGGAAAAACCTTGCGCCAATCAACCTGCGTAGCGGCTCCAACACATGAGGCGCCGATTCTATTCCCAGAGTGGATGACGCTGGACGTGTACGTGTGTGGCGTATCTACTGGTGAATAGAGGGGCTGTGACGTGGTCAAACCAGCAGAATTTTACCGCAGGCAGAGCAACATTACCGACGAAGATAAGGGAGACTGGTTTGGTTGTTTCTGACTAATTGGCCGTAGTCAGCCAGTTATACACAACCCTGAGACATGGAACACCTGGGGCTCGATCCTGCGACCCTGGAGGTACAAAAAGTCGTCGTGCTTACTACTCTTTTCTGCAGCGAGCTCAAAACTAAATTTGTTAACTCAACCACCACTCCCTCCCCCCAGTTGTCTTAGGGCAAGTCTGCAGGTGAAGTGCAGAAACTGAACCCAGACGCCCAATTGCCGGAATCGACTGGCCAGAGCATTTGGACCTCAGAAGTCCGAGAACTGAATGCATAAAATATGACCTAACAACAGAAAGCGCACATCATTTCATACACTTTTGTGAATCAACGCAGTTTTCGAGGTGGCAGTCTACGTGCAGTGCCCAGAAGGGTCGCGTACATAGCTTCAGCCTCAGACACAACCCCACGCAGACCTAGACCACCACCCGAAAAGATCATCGTCTACAGCAAACAACACCTTAGTGGGCTTTTCGATTAGCAACAACGTCCACTTAGGAGTGGACGGACGAACAAGCCTTACTTATCACTGGAGCCGCCACTTGATGAGGACCGACGCCGACTACAACAGGCGATATACCTTGCTAAACGGCCCCGTATCGGTAGTCTGGGTCGCAAGGCGAGCACGTTGAACGTCAAACGTCAGCATAGGATAGGTTACAAGAGCACAAAGATGGGCAAAATGGCCGGCCAACGGGAGTGAGGATTACGAACTTTGGAATTCTGGGGCAAGTTCGGGGGAGAGAAGGTGGAGAGGAAAACGGCCGGAGTAGTCCATCACGTCGTTCCTGGCATCTGGGAAGAAATGGGAAAAGGGGGGTGAATGCTGGATATTCAGACTCCTGCTGACGACATACATTGGGGGTTTGGTTTGGGACCCACGAGCGGTCAGTAGCTGAGAAGCATAATTAAAAATGACAAGGCAGGCCGGAATAACGATATCTGGTCCACTTACCAGGCAGTTAAACCACAAATTCAGACTGACGAGGCAAGGGACGTAAGTTAAGCAGTCATCGGAAGGACTCTCATAGATCTTGAAAACCAGTAAACCAAGAGCAGATAAAGACCTTTAGTGAATGGGAGGACACGGCTCCATAACTGCTCTAGTAGACACAATGTCCACAATAGGCTGGGCCGAAACTAGCATGCATTTCAGTTAAGAGAAATTAGCATCTGCAAAAGTACCCATGTCGCCTAGGGACCTTGCATGGCAGCTGAAGTGCGGCAGAAGCCTGGTTGACGGATAGTGGAATGTCACTTTTAGGAATGGGAGGATGTAGGAGTGCCAAATTCGAGGGTGTCGTGCAGGCGTGGCAGGTCGCGTCATGCAAACGGTCCCTAGCGGACAATAAACTCTCATCTGTGGCTCCCCGATGCCAAGCCTAGTATCAACAGCTCAGTAACCGCCTCGACCGGCCAGCTAAACAAGGTAAGGGTGTTCAGTGCTATGGGTGTCCCAACATCCGGCAATTCAGCACCTCTTCCCACTCTTTCACTCCCAGCTTAAAAAAATTATAGAGGGGGGGGGGGGAGAGAGAGAGCGGCATGCAATCCCGTAGGCAGCCTAGGCTCACTCGGGTCGCGCACCCACTTAATCAACCCGTGACCAGTAGCGGAGTTCGGCAGCCGTCTGGGACGTCTAAGCAGTCTTATTTGGGAACAGTACTGCTTGCCACCCCCGGGAGCGGGAGGGAGGGCTATAAAAGCTGCCCACTCTGACCGTGGCCCTCATATGCACTACTCACGGTCGAAAGAATTAAATAAACAACCACCCTCGTCTCCATCTACTGCTAAAACCCACTCACTCCGGCGGCCGCTCCTACCATGCAGTGAAGCACGGCGCTGGAAAGGGCGACCAAAATGTCAGGTGGCGGCAAGGCATGCAGAGAGGACCCGAAAAACTCCCTTCCACGTGCCCTGGGGCTTCCGGAAAAATATCAGGAGGGTGAAGATTGCACCTGTAACATGCGCTCTCAGTGCTTCATGCATAATTATCCGCACCACAGGGCCCGCGTGTAGCAGGCTGTGGGATAAACAAGTGCGCGACATTGAATCTTGCAGTCAATGGTAAGCTGAATGCACTGCTCGGACTTAGAAATTTTCACTAGGTTTACATACAAGATGGTCTGACGGGAAAGCTGGAGCAAAGGTCCTCGAGGCTAAGAAAAAAGAAAGAACACACGACCCGAGTATGACGGAACAACACCGTTAGCACGACAGCCTTTGAAAAACACACTGAAGACTTCGATTGCCAAAGGAGGACAGTTCCATGTCCATCCAAATGGCAGTTCGAGCGTCGTCACCGACGATGTCCATCGTGTGATACAGAGCGAGGTGGGGTTGGAGACGGTGACTTTAGCGGGCACACTTGGGCAGTATCTATCGCACACTCCTCCCACACCTAGACCCGGGATCAAGACAGAGTCAAGAAGACCGGGGATGGAAGTGTCATAGAGGTCACACTAGGAGGGAGCCATTGCGACCTGAATCTCAGTTCACCAGTCGGCAACCTTTTAGGCCATGGCTTTTGGCCCACCGTGGTAGACTCAACCCCGTCAGCTTGTTTACAGTTAGGAATAAGCGCTGAGACCACAGATCTTACTCTCTCTTTCCACGCGACAGTTCACTGTCCGAGCCGGTGGGTTTTCTGATGCGGGAAGTGGGCGCAGTGGCAGACAGAGCTAGAGAGACTGTCCCCGCTCCACACGCACGACCTGGCCCCCCACAAACGCACACACAAGGGGAGACGGATCGAATCTTGTGTGTTTGAGAGAGTGCCATTAAGGAGTTATTGCAGTCCGACTCTCAGACCGCCAGTCGGCAACTCAACACACAGCTGGGCTGACTGAATGGTCTGAGTTGAAGTGTCAGTTGACACCCTTCCGAGCCACGGCTTTTGGCTGGAGGGTTGTTCTACCGCAATGGTTAGCCAAGGACTGCAGTCCTCAACATGGGACTGCCGCATCGCAGAAAACAATTTTCAGTCGAAAGCCAAATCCAATGGTAAAGGGACGAAAACAGTTTAAGGTTGTTAATTGGCGGAATGGAAGATGGCGAGACTCACGGTGTACTTCCAGCAGACAGCGGATGAAAAGTCGCTGGGAGAAGGCAACTGCAATGTGCAGAGGAGTCGAGCCCTGAAAAACGAAACAACGAAGGAACTTGTTAGTCCAACACGCATGATCAGGAAAAAGGGCAGCTCCGGCTGCCGTCCGACGGGGCACCGAAAAGCACCAGGGAGGCAGACACCGGCAGCATAAGGAGCCCGCTACAGGCGCAATAGTGTTGGTACCTTCCAAGTTATTTGTTCCCGACAGTCACAGGTCAGAGTAAACGTGGAGTCACCCACTTTCTCCTCGGGCTAAAGACAACCGCGTAGCCAGGAGAAAACAACGAACGCCGGGTAGATTCAGCCCAGCACATCGATTTCGCGGTCTTCTCGATCTGAGGACGGAACTGCGGTTGGACATTCCTCCTCGCTAACTGCCTCGATCTGCGCGTAGAGAATGTTACTAAAAATGCGCGCCAATAGACGGCTAGCTAGGCAAAAAAAGATTTCACCTAGACTGCCAAATAATGCAGCAGGCGATATAGGCGTTCCCACGAAAGTGACGTGCGTTGCATTTTAAATTTGACGTGGAATCAGCAGTCACATGGCGACTGATATTCCATGACGTACAAAGACGGACATGCGCGTTTCTGCATTATTAGCCGTCATCAGCCCGGCACACGCCGGGCGAAAGTCACTGTCTCTGCTCTCACCCTGCTGTAGAGCACATGGTGGACATCGGCGAAATCGACGGTCAAACTGCCGGTTGCCTGATGGGCAAAAAAATATTTCCCCCAAACTGCCAAATAATTCAGCGATATTCGGGCGATACAGGCTGCTACGGCTCCTTAGTGCGGTCTATATGACACTCCCACTGGGTGGGATACAAGCTAAGTGTGGCGGCACGCCTGGGGGGGGGCATATCAGCCCTTTTTTACCTCCGGTCTTGACACCGGGCCCAGGTGTGGAGGGAATGAGGCAGATGCTGTGCAAGTCTGTTGTCACTATAAACTAAATCGCGCGAAATTCGCCGTCCCTGCTCTCACCCTGCTGTAGAGCACACAGTGGACATAGTAGAACTCGACGCTTGAACTGTCGTAGGCTTTCCAATAGGAGTGGCGTGCATCACATTCCAGATTTTGATGTGGAGCCGAAGGTAAGCAGGCCACGTCGGCAGCCGCATGGCACGACTGGAATTCAACAATGCGCAAAGACGGCATAGCAATTTCTGTCTTACTAATCGTCGTCAGTCGGTTACATCATAGTTCGAGGCGAGGATGACCCCGGGGTTCTTTGGTCATCGAGTGTTAAGTCAAAGGTAGCAGGAGGTGGCACAAGGTGGATTTGATGAAGTTCAGTTTCCAGACACTCACAGATAGGGCTGGTGAAGTGACGTTCTTCGAATAGGACAACCCCCATCTCTCCGAAGAAGCATAAATGGTCTCCGATGGACAGCGGGGTAAAGTGAGGGCTGACCTCCACCCCCCCCTCCCCCAAAGATTCATCTTGCAAGTCAATATTCGCCAGTCCGCGATCGAAATGATAAGGGCTTTGTAACAAAGCCTGAAAGTGTGTCGGAGAAACTGTTCTGCGTTCGTCCAAGTCATAAAAGCAGAAAAATCCCTCCCCACGCATGCGTCTGGCGCCATACAACTACTGAGTCGGGCTCTGTCCGGTCGGAAAAGCACCCCAAATGCGGGGTCGCCAGTGAGACGCTGAAGGGCGTGCGCGCTCTCTCATGTCGTCATGGAAGAATCAACTTGTCCGCATCCAGGACGGCGATGCATAGCAAATGACGAGGTTATGCATGAGAGCTACAGGAATTTACATAAAGCAAGCAAAGGTACCAACGTGATAGGAATTAGTGCAGGTAGGAAGTGCGAGGGAGGGGGGGGGGG